TTTTTTTTTATATTATTCTCTTCAGAAGTGTCCTCCTGGCGTCAGTTTCTTACAAGACTCAGGGGTTTGGCTTAGGATTATATTTTAGATGCTGAGGCTACATCTCTACCTGACACTCTTCTGGAAGTCTACAAGGCAATGGTGGGTTTTTTTTTTTCACCTTTAGGGTTTCACTGTACATTAACAACCATTTAAAATATCTTTAAAGAGGGGCGCCTGGGTGGCTCAGTCAGTTAAGTGTCTGCCTTCGGCTAAGGTCATGGTCCCAGGGTCCTGGGATCAAGCCCCGCATCGGGCTCCCTGATCAGTGGGAAGCCTGCTTCTCCCTCTCACTTTGCCCCTCCCCCCTGCTTGTGCTTTCTCTCGCTCTTGCTCTCTCAAATAAAATCTTCACAAAAATAAAATATCTTTAAAGATAGTCTTTAAGATGAAAACAAATTCATTTTATAATTATGTAAAATATTCACCTGATAAAAAAAATCAACCTATAAAACAATGTCTAACCAGAGAAGTCTAGCTGATATCTGTCTTGTCCAATTTATTCACTCCCATTCCCTATGAGTAACTATATATGTATACTGTTTGTATTGTAACTATCCATTTAAATTTATTGAGATTGGGTTTCTAAAAATATTTGCAATATTTCAGGTACATTTGAAAGGAAATATAATTTTTATTATGATGGTTTACAGTTTGATATGTACTTACATTCTCTATTGTTTATATTTTTAGGTCTGTTTATTCTTGCCATTTTTGTCCTTTTGATCTGTCTTGAATTACAAAAGGTATATTAAAATAGTCTCTCTTCACATAAAAAAAAACTGAAGTCAAATAGGTAAAAAAAAAAAAAAAGAAAGAAAGAAAGAAAAAAAGAAAAACCCAAACGGTTAATTCTAACAATCCAAGAAATGCAAATTCAGCCAAAAGATGGGGTCACAGAGCACAGGGGCAAAAATGGAATAGATTCATCATGTTCGATGCTGTTCAGGATGTGAGGAAATGGGCTTTCTCACAGCTTGCTGCCATGAGCATAAACTGTCATGACCTCTTTGTAGATACCTGTATCCCAGGCATTCTATTTCTAGGAATTTTTCTTAAGAAAAAAAACAACCACACAGAGATGTATAATATTCTGTAGCACATTATTTACATTAGCTAGAGGTCAGAGACTAAAAATTCTATCAATTGAAGATTAAAAGCATATAACGGAATATCTTGTTAGAAAAAGTAAGATGGATGTGTCTATACTGACAAGGAGAGATAACCGAGAGAGATTAGATTTTTAGGAACCAGGTTAGAGGACAGCAGTTGAGAATGGCCCTTTGATGATGCCCTCGAAGCAGAAAGATACCTGAAACTACCCAAAGTTGTTCTGTGGAATTTGGGAATGCTGGGGAACTTGCATTCTCCACAATTATGTATCAAAACTTTTTTACAAGAATGTGCTATTTTTAAAATTAAAAATGAAATAAATGATGTTAACTGGTGATCCCTGGCAGTGATGAAATTTGCTAGGAACAAGGGGACTCACGCAAAGCTGATGGGCAAACCGAGGAAGCCTTTCTGGAGGTCATTTTGGTGACTCTGAATCTAAAGTCTGAAAACACATATGCCCTTCCACTCAGCAAATTCACTTGTAGGAATTTATCATGAGGAAATAATTCAGGACATGAACAAAAGTAAGGATGTCTCCCAGCCTGTCTATCATGAAAAAAAACAAAACGAACAAACCTGGAAAGGACCATAAATATCCAAGGACGGTGTGGCGATGGTTAAATAAACTAGACCCAGCCGTATGGCACCTTACAGGCAGCCATTAACTTCATCTCAGAAAAGTGCTCGAGGACAGGTGAGGAAAGTCCACCAGGCATTACAAACAGACAAAAGCAGGTCATAAAACAATATGTACGTTGTGAGCTCAGTTTTGTTAAATACACATGTGCGTTCACAGAACAGGAAAAACTAAAAGGATATAGACCAAAATTCTGGAGCTAATGGATAGGGAAAGTCAGGGGATTCTTCCTTATGTTTCCTTCCTTATATTCTCTGTACTGTCAAATTTTATGTTTCCTCTTTTATCAAAACATAAGGCTTTAAAAGTACCTATGAAGTAAAAATTTTCACCAGCTCTGATTTCTTCTCAATTCAAAATTAGAAAGGCATTACAAAATAGGTTTTTATCCCATTGTTATACCGCTCTTAAAAAAAAAATCTTCAAAATCCATATAAACCTTTGACTTTGAAATATAGGTATTATGATTTTCAATTAAAAAGATCAAAATCTGAATGGAACCTGAATACTGAACATACTTAACTGAAGTCAGAGATCACACACCTGAACACAGCTACTGAGTCTGAGAGGGAACCAACAGCAACATCAGGGTAGGAATTTCTATCAAGGTCCATATTTCCAGCAATTGAATATCCAAAATAAGGGGATTTACCCTCAAGAATCTGAAATGAACAGGGCATCAGAATGAACAATGGGCCACCAAAATGAGCTTCTCGATGCCTTGAAAAAGCCCCATACTTCCTCATAAACTGAAGCTCAAGAGTTTACTTACAAATTATACTAAATTATAAATAAATTATAAGTACACATGTGCTCCAACACTTCATGCTCCAACACTTCATATATTTTATTTCATAGAAGTTATCTGATTTACATTCTATCTCAAAGGATACAAGGGCCAATTTCTGATGAGCTTCTTTACTATATACCAAACCTCTCTACCTGCCCTCCAAATGTCTTATTTTTCTCAAAAGCAATTTTTAATTTTTGGTGTCTCGATTCTCCATGTAATCATAATCATCTATTTCATTTGCCCCATTTTGCCTCCAGTTATTATGCTACTAAAGGAAAGATCTCACATTTCCATCTATTTTTGCCATCTGGGTAAAACTGTCTTTTCCTTTGGATTACTTTGATTCCTAATTTATCTAAGAAATTTTACAAATAAACCCAATGATGTGCTTATTTTAAATCTATTTTCAAGCTATCTTCTAATAGTACATTAAAAAAAACCCACAAATCTATTATAGATTTGTAAATAAAGCATGCGTAGCATGAAAATGCACATAAACCCAAATATTCTATTACAAGGCAAAAAGCGGAGACCCTTACTGTAGAAACCCAAGCTGTTTGGTTACCTGTGTTGGCTTGGTATTTATTCCATTCGGGGATCCGTGATAGATAAAAACCTTTCCCATATCATCATAGGGAGCTCCAACTGCAATATCTGTTGACAACATCACATTTCAACAAACACTACATTTTTAAAATGTTCCAATACTACGTTTCATAATAAGATGCCATAAGCATTCATTATTTTAGACAATCAAATAATCTGCCAGTGAGCATCATAACTATTTCACAATCTATTACCTACCTGGGTAGCCATCTTGATTAATATCGCCAATATTTTTTACTGCAATGCCAAACATAGAATCTTTGGTTCCATTAAGACGAATTGGCTTGACTTTATTCCACCTGCCTTGCTGGTTAATGTAAACATACACGGCACCTCCAACTTCTCCATCTCTATCAAAATACTGTGGGGCTCCAATAATTATATCTTGCCACCTAAAAACACAATGAGGGATAAAACTGAGCCACATCAGCTAAAATACCAGCAAGCTCACAGAGAATGCCATCAGCCCAGGTACTAAGGACACAGAAACAGGATGCAGAAAGGAACTCAAATCTGGAATTGATTTCTCATCCATTAGAACATTTTCGTAGGTGTGTTTATGTGATGTTCAGATAATGTAATGTTTAGGCACGTAAGTGTTTATGCTATGTTTAGGTAAAACATTTTACACAGTAGCCTACGATAAATGCCCAGAGGAAGATACCAACAGTAGGAACCTGAAGACAGTCCCCAAGTTAGAGCGAGAGCGCACAGACTCTGCTCCCCGCCACCCACCACCCAAACTGGCACCACCAGACATAACGATTCCTTTGTCACCGATCCCTATTTTTAAAAGGACATTCTGGATGCTCCAACAGCCCCTTAAGAAGCCACAGAAGAACCACATAGGTGTCATTTTTCAAGTTAATGTTTTTCCGTATGTTAATTCTCACAGACCCACGATCCCAAACCATGAGTAAAAATTGAAAATGTAAATTACCTGGGGAGGGTTATGAATGTCCGCTGCCAAAATACAAGGGATAAAGATGTGGCAGGACGGTAAAAATCTGGCAGCAAAAATATTCTTTGAGTCAACTAACCTGAAAGGATGGCTCGTCTCAAGACTGAAAAATGCCCAAGAACCAACGATTTCTTGGCAGATATAAAGTAACCGAAGATGCTCTTACCCATCATTGTTAAGGTCCGCCACTGCCACGTCATAACCGAATGAAGAAGCCAGACCTTCCCCATCAAAGATGTACTCAGGGAGAAGATGTGCAGACTTCGTGTCCCTTTTTAGCAAAACCACAGCTCCACTGTGATTGGCTCTTGGAGCACCAGACACGAAAGTGAGCTCATCTTTAGAAACAATACCTTTTCCTGAGTCCAAAGAAAAGCCTAGAAAAACAAAATAACGGTTCACGTCACCTTGTATTTCAGGAGTATCTAACATGGTAACTCCATCACTACCTCTGCGCCTCTGGCTTCCCACCCCTCTCCTTCGGGGCCTCTCTAGCAGCTATCGTATTTACAGCATGAAAGAGTTTGACCCAAGTACAAGGCAGTAGGCTAGGTCATGGCTTTCTATGGAAATATATGAAGACTTTTGAAGGAAAGCACCTATGCTACTTAGCATATGTCTAACCTGAATCATGCATCTCAAGAAGCTGTTCGTACTCCATTTTAATACAGGAACTGTAGGGAAAAGGAGTTCAAGCTAGATCCTAAGTTATCACGGGAAACTACACACACAGATACAACCAGACACGACATACCTGAGTGCATGTTATAGAGTTCTGCTATAACGTAATGATTAGTAACTTCCACATTCATCAGTCTCCTTGGTAATACAAATGCTAACATCATTCCTATATCACAGACAGCATCAGTATTGGGGACCAACTTAATTCTCAGACACAAACATGCAAACAAGACCATGACTGGTGAGACAGAGTATTTGAGAACCTAGTATAAACAATAGAGGTGAGCAAGTTGTCACTGATGACAATTACATACTTGTTCAGAGGGCAGAAAATGTTAGACATCTAATTATAAAGCATCAGGTGGGGTATCAGATAACAGACTGAGATCTGGCAGCAAGTGAACATAAACGCCTACGTCAAAACCACTCAAATTAAGCACATCTTGCTCTAGAAAGGTGAGGCAGATGCAGAATAGGGTAAGCTCACCCTTTTTATTCTGAGTTATAAAAAGCTTCACCACTACTGTTGCAGTTCTCAAACTGTGAAAGTGAGTTGCAAAATATGATGAGCTCCAAGTTTAGAACAGGTGATGTAACTAAATCCAGCTCTGAAAACCTTCTGGCAGCAGAGCCTTAACCATGGCATGCTTTTCATGTGTGCTTCACTTGAAATGAAATAGAAAAGAAAAAAGATTTATGCTCTGTATGGATCCAAAAAAAAAAATTTTTTTTTTAATGACCATGACCAAGACAATTGATTTGTCATCTCAGAGGTCACAAACCTAGGTAGCTATTCATCATCACATCAGGGGATGTGCCGGGCTGCTCCCTGGGAGGCTGTGTTTTATAAACAAACTGATCAGGATCTGTGTAGGAAACGCTGGTCAAAAACAGCAGGCCTGGACACATGCGTGGAACAGAAGAGATCGAAGAGAAGGCAATTATGCTTCGTAAGCGGCACCAGGAGGCCACCACCGCATCTGGCAAGCCAGCCTCCTCGCCAGCTTCCGAAACCTCAAGCAGATCATTTTCTTCCTCAAGCCCACTGATGTTTTGAAACGACAGATCCACAGACAGCATGGACAACAAAAACGTAACAATACAAGGTCTGCTTTTGAGGCAATCTATTCTTAAAAGGAGCAAATGTGTTTAATAAAAAATGCTGAATCTTTTCAAATGCTCCAAGAGCAGCTATGTTTCTAAAATCCACAGGCATCTATCTTAGAGACCAAAGTGTTGGGGTTCTTGACCATTCATATGAAATTTCAATTTACAATTACTTATCATAAATAATCCCTAAATAACATATTTGATGAGAGGCTGCCTGTTAAAATATGTTCAAATAAAATGCTGGTGTGTGGATGGTATTTACCCTGAAAAGCCATACTGAGACTGCGAACGGCTGGCGTCTGCATCCCATCCCTGTCCTGCAAAGCCACTGGCCCAGCACTCACACACCCAGCTGCTTCCTACCCTGCCTCATTTTCACAAGCCTTTCTTTCCTTGGCTGAGGGATGAGCAACTGTGTGACCTTGGCCTAAGAAATTAATCTCCCCAGGTCATATTTTTTTTCATTAGCAAAAGAGGGATAATCATACTGATTTTATAACATTGTTGGGAAGGTCAGGTAAGACATGAATAGCAGTAAATACAGCACATGGTTGGCACTTAACAAGTTTAACTTTTCTCTGCCCTCTTCCAAGCCTTCATACCAGATTTTTAATTTGGAGGGAGGAGGGAGTGTCTGAAAAGTTGTGTCTTTTTTTCTTTTTTTAATTAACAGTACCATTCATGCATATCTATATAATTAGAACATTTTAAGAATATGCTTACTAATACGTCATTTAGAATTATTCTTAAGTTTTTACTTTTACCTTCCATTGTTCCAGTAACATCTCTAGCACAGGGGTACTTTAAAAAAAAATAGGTTACTATTTAGGTTTAGGAGATTTTTTACATTTTTTTTTCCAAGAAATGCGTAGTAATTATTCTTTATGTCAACTCATACCAAGAATTAAAGCTTTTAAAAGCCTTTGTGTAATTACCATAATGCACATGAATCATTTAGGACACCCATTAGTAATGCAAACGAGCCTTAGGAGTTAGGGAATTGGCACTTAGACACAATCTGGGGGTCCTCCAAGCTGCTCTAGCAGTCCTGCTCAGCTTCTGCTGGAAAGCCACCACGCCACCGGCCAGGGGCCCTGTGACAGGGGGGCCCCAGACCAGAAGCAGAGCCGACCCTTGCAGAAGAGCAGTCATGACGGAAGGACCTGGAGGTCTTGACCTGCCACTTCAGAGTAACTTCATGAATGTAGCTCTTAAGAGTATCTCTAGAAAGAGGCACTGGAGGGAGAGAGGAGACAGCTCAGCTTATTGCTGACATCCATGCATTTCCCCTCCCCGGGCTGCACCAACGCCTGTTTTGGGTTACAGAGGCCGACGCAGGCTCAAGACACAGACTTCCCTCGGGACAATTTTAGGAGACAGTAAGTTTTCTCCCGCCCTGATGGAGCCCAGGTCAGAAGGGAAGGGTGCCAAGCATCAGCCAGGTTACCTCAGGATCACCAAAGCTTAAATCCAATTCCCATCAATGCAGCCACAGGCCCCTGGCTCCACCTGGCCTATTCTCATCCTCGAGGTCCAGGGTGGGTCCTGGGAGGACAGGGGCGCACTGAGGCATCCGGAAAGGCAGGCACGCCTGCTGCGCTCTTTCCTACCTAAGTAACTGTTAGCGGGAACAGGAACCAGACTTTCGTCATGGTCAGTCTCTCCACCAACTTCATAAGGCCCATCTTCAAAGATGTTCATGTCAAAAAAAGTGTTATTCTTTTGCTCTACACGAACGATGCCTAAAGAAATGAAATGGCAAAAAAACAAAAAAACATAAAGATGGAACAAAATAAAAGAGATGGTTCCTAATAAACATGCCTCGTGTTAGCACCATAAGGACAGGAAGAAGAGTCTGGAGGAAGAAGGGCAAAGGAAAGAGAGGGCTTTTGAGGTTATTACAGTTAAAAAATCATGTTATGTGAATTTTCTTAAAGAAATTTGTTCCAGTAATAAAAAAAGATGGCCCGTGCATTTTTAGGAATTCTCTCTATAATGCCACAAAACCAGATGGAAAACAAAATGTTTACTTCATTAACTAAATCTACAGAAAGTAACTCTTTAGACATTATATGAGCCTGACGTATTTTACACTGTCATCCTAGATCAATTTACCTACTTTGCTAGAGAATAAAAGTGAAATGTTTTGATCCTTTCTTCAAATCACTTGAACCAAGATTTCATCTTTCTAAAACTTCCACAATTAACAATTAAAAAGAGAAGATTTCATATAGTAAGCCCCCTATGTGACTTTTTTAAAAATGGTTAACATTTTGAATCAGGGTTTATAAAGCAGATAAGAGATGTTTCCTGTAAATACATACATACATAACTGGTGGGTGTTTTTGTTGTTTTACTATATATGGCATCTAGTCTTATTATAATAAAACTATTTCTAAATTCAGTGTGTTATTTGGATTAGGTCAATATAACCTGACAAATACTGTTATGTTGGGGGTGGGGAGGCCAAAGGAAATTCCTCCCAAAGGTTAGTATGGATGACGTAAAGAGGAAGGTGTTCCTCAAGGATTATTTCTACTAATAGGTATTCAAACTTGGGAGATTTTTTGAATGCAAAAGGGAAAATTTTCCTAGTTTTTCTTAACTAGAGAAAATGTTATAACATAGCATTTATTTTAATAGATTTCTCAAAAAAAATGTCTGATGTCTAAATCCTATGCATTTCTCTTCGTTATGCATTAGAGTTAAGCTAATTGTCCTTTATAATATAGTGGTTTTCTATGCCTGCCTAATTTCTTCAGAGAAGTTAAACTTGATTACAGGAGCTGACCAGGTTCGCCCAGTCAAACTGAGGGCCCTTCTCCCCCCTCCCTCCCTCCCAGTGCCTTTTACCTACATCACAATCATAATTAAACAATACCACTAAACAACTTCCCCATAAATTGTCTACAGTTATCATCTCAAAATTCCCTAATTTGTCATCTACCCTTCTAACTTTTCTGCTTTATTAGCAAAACACAGCCTCTTAAGATAATATATAATGGAAAAAATGTCTGTATTAATACACTGTTACTTGTACATGACACCACTCAATTATTGTTTTAGGATTACTACCTTAAATGAAATGTTTGCCAACATTAAAACTTAAAACGCTTTCAGCCTCAAGAAACAGGAAAATACGAAACAGAAAAAACTACAGATGTTAATTATTATACTCTTAGCAAAAAATGTTAACTACTTGTATTAATGTAAATTGCTGGTAGAAGAGGAAAAAAACATCTTCAAATATACATTTCCACCACTGTTTGTGAAATCATATAATTGAGAGATTGTAATATCCTACCTTACTTCTATAACATATAAGTGCCTTATAACACATTGTGTTTTAACTTAAAACAATCATGGTGCATGTAAGAGAAACTATGTAGTCATTCTGAACTCTATTGCTATAAATACATGTCCTACCTTTCCAGTTATAAGTGCCCGGGGCTCCAAATACAATGTAATGAAAGTCTTTAGTAAAAGTAGCTGCTACTCCTTGCTGGCAAGAACCAAATTTTTCATGGCCTCTCAATCGGCCATCGCAAAAACTCCAGTCTCCTCCATCCATGTCATCCTCAATCCTCAGATTCTGACTCAGGACGTAGCACCTTCCAAAGATATCTCGGGATTCCTGCTTTGTATTGACATGTTGCCTTTTTTCATATCGGTGAGCACATGTCTGCAAACAGATGGAATAGAGTAGCCCATTCATTTCTACAAACCTTATGTGTATTGTTGACCATTTAATCAATTTGTAATAGAGAGAGATTAATTCTAAATGGGATGTTATACATGTCCTCATCCTGGGACGGGATCCAAAACCAGCAATTGTTCCCCAAAGTGGCACTAAGGAGAGCATCATCTAGCATAAAGGAACTAGAACTTGTCTTATTCTCACCTGGAGGATAATGCTCCAGTCCAAATACTGAATGCCAATCTGTAATCCACAGGCAATTTATTTGTAAATTTACCTGTCACATAAGCAGTGGGAAATATCTTCTCTCATTTTCTTAATTTAATTGGCTTTTATTGGCCGTATAAACTTTCACATCAGTATGTTTGTGAAAATTTGTAATTATGTTCCAGGGGAGAGAAATCATGGACATATTTTCATAGGATCAGGCAAACACAGCTAAAACAAAAACATTTCCCTTTTACCCACACCATTTCCTTATAATCAGCCCTAACTTGTACTCTTAGCTATTTTAAAAGGCAGAGAGAATTACACTGCCAGAAAAGATGAAATAACCTCTATAATTTTACAAGGTATTCATGGTTACCCTCCATGTAACACAGGCTGAAAGACTTTATGATATCCAAGTTGATTTCCTATAATGATGATCTCTTAATTATCAAAATTCAGGGTTCAGTAAAATTCTCATTTTTTTCAAAATCCTGTATCAATTTGTTAGAGCAACTAGATTCTGAAAGAGACACAGAGGGAGAGCATCTTAATCCAGCCTGGAAGGCATTTCTGAGGCCACGTCCCACAGTCCACCTAACAAACCCCTTTCCTTCACTGCTACTTGTATTTGAAGACTTTCAGAACAAACAACCAGAGTTTTAAATTACCTGCTCTTACTTTCCATGGCTATTCCCATATTTTTTAGATATATAGTTCCTGGGACATAAACCACGTCTAGTTTTGTTCTGCATTCTAAAGACCATCTGGCGTTTTAGGGATATTCAGGTTTATTAATAAGTTCCTTGAGTCTGAAAGTTCTAAAGAAAAGCAGGTTTTATGACTATTTCAAAGTGTATCAGAAATCACAGAGGGGTGCCTGGGTGGCTCAGTCAGTTACTCATCCGACTCTTGGTTTCAGCTCAGGTCATGATCTCAGGATCACAGGATGGAGCCCTACGTCAGGCTCCATGCTCAGCGTGGAATCTGCTTGAGATTCTCTCTCCTTCTGCTTCTGCCTTGCTCTCCCTCGCTCAAGTAAATAAATAAATCTTTAGAAATCACAGAAAAAATAATGCCTTGATTTCTTCTTGACATCAATTCCTGCTGTAAAGCAGTGAGTCTTCTGGAATGTCCCCTGTGTGGGCAGGCGCTCCGCCTGTCTTGTTCACTGCTGTCAGCCTGGCGCCAACGCATGACAAGCACTCAGACATTGTGGAATGGGTACGCTTCTCCACACTTACCACAACTTTGCCCCCTGGACCTTGGCTCTGCACGGTGACCCCCATCCACTGATCTTCCTTGCTTTCTGATGAAGGGTCAGCTGTGGAAAGCAGTGCAGGATACGTACACACAGTTAGGACTTCAAAGTGACTGAAGCAGGCAACGAAGCAAGAGATCAACACAAATACAAGCTGGTTTCTAAACTGCCTAGATTCCAAGTTACTCAATCGAGAAAAATTATTTCTCCTTTTAAGAAAACAGGTAAGTGGTTATTGGTAAGAACCTTCTTAAAATTCTTTACATAAAATATATAGCTTTACCTGGTGGCCCTACACTCTTTCTGACAACCAGGATCCTGAGTACAAAAAGCTATCTGAAAATTGTAAGACTCAGGGGTAGCCTTCCAACATATGCGTCTTAAAGCAGTGATGTGAACATCCAGTCTCCAAATCCCAGCTACCATCCAAACTAACAAGAAGTCGGCACTTCTTTACATACTCCTAAATTTGTTATATAACAGTATGAACTATTCTTTTCTTTCTTGGAGAAGATAAGGCCTCAGATTCACTTTATATCTATCAATGCCAAGAAGGAAAGCAATATAGTTTTTACCCCCCCTCCGAAAAAAGAGAAACCACAAACACCATCATGTATGTGTTCATTTTAGTATCAATCTGAACCTACTTGTATGACCCTATATCCAAATTTTTGCCTTCCTCAATTAGAAGGCAGGCATGATTTTTTAAATCTTGAGTCATTGCAAAAATGTGAAAACTAAACAAGTTTAAGTAGAGAGAAGCCAAAATGCCAAAATGTTAAAGAGTGATCATGTCTAGATTACCCATGGGTTTTTGGGTTTTTCTTTATATAGGTCGGTGTCTTTTGTAACTTTCCCACAATTAACATATATCATTTTCTAATCAGTAAAGAAAAAAAAACAAATGTTATTTCTAAAAGATGAAAAAGAGAAGAACAACAACATGAATTTGCAAATCTACTTAGACCAAGGATGTCAAATCTGCTCCCTTAGAGCTTCTCAGCACACTAAGTGCTCGGCTCAGCATAGATCCCTCACAAAACAAGCCTCTATCTGAGCCAGAAGGGCAAAATTAGCCATTATGGTCAGCTCTCACTTCAGAGAGATCTGATATTTAAAACAGTCTTTCTCCCAAATATTTTAACAGCAAGCGAGAACTTTTGGCAGCTAAGTACAAGCTATGCACAATTTTCTTTGCTGCTCTGAATTCGGTTTTTCAATAGCCTCCTGTAGAACCTCAGCGCATCACTAGGTGGCGACATCAATACACCATATCCTTTTAGAAAGCGAGATTAGGAAGGGCTGCAATTCGGTGTGCATCCCAGCATCATTTAAAAAGTAGATGTTTTCAGGGCAAACAAGAAACAGTCAAGACATGTAATTAAAAGGGGCCCTCTCTCCAAGAAAAAAGGCTTGGACCCCCTTTCCCTCCTCATGGAAAAGGCAAGTGGGGTACAGGCGAGCTGGACAAGTGGACACACAGCAAGGACAGAAAAACACACCGTCGTTATCAAATTCAATCCGTGTGCAAGGCCCCGGGGAGGTGATGTCACAGCTGTACAAGCCGCCTGTTCTGTTGGCCCTCTGCAGGGGAAGGGCCACCGCCCGAGGGGCCCCCACGAGCAACCTGTTGCCAAAACAGAAAATTTGGAGAGTTGAATTTAACAAACACAATTAACGTTTCAATTAGAACCATGATGTTCAGATGTCAGGATTATTGGTGGTCAAGAGTTCCCAGATGCCCCGCTGGCTTAGGCACTAGGGATAGTAAAGGTGGAGTCCTGCGACTGGCCCGTGCAACACACGCACACACGCACAGGTAGGCAAGTCAAGCCCGAAAAGGGGTTGTTGAAACAACGTGAAAAGTATGCCATCTCTCATAGTATCAGCACCTCTCTGAGTAGGATTCTGGTGTTTTAAAAGACACACTTTATAGAACATGACCCCTAAACCTAAGCCAAGGACATACGGAACTCAACAAACACTGGAGGGGGGAAATGGCCCCATTAAACTTAACAAGCGATGATATGTCATCTTCTAACACTGTGCCTCCCTGAGGTATTTTTCAAAGGTAATTGTGACTATACCCTGAATCTTCAGTTCACATACTGTTTCATTAATTAAACAAGGCAGCCGTTAGGCCCATGTGGCTCTAATGACGTGGCAGTTATGTAAGCAAAAATATCTAAGCCTGTAAAGGCCTCAAGGTTATAAAATCAAACCTGAGGGACAACCAATCACAAGCAGCCAACCAGGCTTTAAGCTACAGCTCATTAAATAATTTTTCTTTGCTTTTTTATTTTCTCTGTAGGAGTCTTTCCCCTGGTTCCGCTTGGCAGAGCACTCCTAACCACTTCCAATTTGCTGCTGCCAGATTCCAATCGATTTTTGCTCCAACTCGTAAAGTTTTTTTTAACATGCCTCAGTTAGTTTATCTTTTAATAATACTGATTTAGAACCTAACCTTGCCCAAGATACGACTGGCCTGAATCTCCTTCCCTCCAGCCGCTCGCGTGCTTTCTCTCTCTTACTTTGGGCACTCTTGCCTCGGACAGGCTCGCCCACCATCATCCTCCATCAGTCTGGCGCAGACGCTGCACAGAGGGTCTGGGCAGCGCCACCTATGTACTAGGTGTCATACCATGCCTTCTCCCCTCCCGCCCCAGTGTTGCTAACTGCGGCAAGAGGGGGCCCTAAACCCAAACCAAAAGCCTTAAAATCTCAGTTTCACAGCCAGGAGGGATCTTCAGAGACATGCTGTCTTTCTGCAGGGTTCCTTTTGATAATGCTCTTTACTCACCATCTCTGGGTCTGGCTGACTCACGGAAGAGCTAGGAACAGAAACAAAGAGAAGGAACACACCTGACTGGACAGAGAGAAACGAAGCTGGAGCTGGGGGAAAGAGCTGGACGCACAAATGTGAACAAACAACTCCCCAAACAGAAAATAAGGGTCCTTGGGGCCTGGAAGTTCTTGGCAGAGGGTAGAGGCTAGGCCAAGGGCCACAGGGGTCTCCACAGGACCACCACACACACATTCCACCAATATTGTCCCAGATCCCAGGAGCCCCGACAAACAGCTGAGAGGTGAACTGGTCTCGACCGTAAGTGAACAAGCTCAACTAACTACCCAGCTGATCTGGAGAGGGGACTCTGACCCAGGGCCTGGGCGGGATTAGCCAAGTGCTGGGCTCAACAGCACTGAATCACAAGATGTGAGCATGGGAAACAGCAGAGAGCATCTAGCCCTCTAACTTTACAGATAAGAAAACAGAGGCCTTTGCAAGGAGGGTAATCACTCTGCCCCTAAGATCTCACAGCTCTATATACATGTATACACATACATAAATATGTGTAGGGACAAAAAATTACTTTGGAGCTCTATTTTTCCCATTCCTTTCAAATGCTTCCTAGGATATAAAACCCTGGATTTTAGGGCATTTATAACCTAGCTGAAAGGGCAAAACCCACACAATGAAACACAGAAACAAGAACTGCTCTGTTTACTGACAGATTTGTAAGCAAAATATGGAAAGGTTGTGGGCAGGCAGAGTGAAAGCGTTCCTGGAATCAGGCGGGGTGAAGACTGGGAAGACGTTATCTGTAAGGGTAACCGGCTCCAACGGGAAGGCTATAAAGAGCAGCCCGGGAGTTCCCAGGTTACTACCGAGTCTTCTCTGACCACTTGCTCGCCTCCTCAGCCACAACGGAGGAGCCTGGCAAGCTACCTAAGGCAGGTGCTGGGCTTGCTATTTCCTGTTCACTGGACTCACTCGTTCACTTATTCATTCCACGAACCTTCAAGAGCCTTCTAGAATGAGTAAGGGGTGCCCGGCTCCCCGCCGAACTCTGGCCCTGAGGGAGCCAGACCGGGAAGCGGGTCTGAGACCAGAGAGCGACAGAGGCGGCGGGAGCCCCCCGCCCCCGGAATCCTGAGGGCGCTCCAGAGGAGGGCGCCAAAGCCTGCCTGCCAGGAAGGGGGTCGCCGAGGCGGCAAGTGAGGGGCGTGCGGTTGTGCAGAGGCTGACAGGGGAAGAGCCAGACGACACGGAGGGGTGGGAATCGGTGATGCCACAAGACGCGCCTAGGGGTGAGCCAGCCTGGTCTGCGGAGCCCGGGGTTCCGGGGTAAAGGGCCAGGGGCGCGCACCCGCAGAGCCCCCCCCCCAGCCCCTGGGAGCCCCCGGCTGCGGCGGACTGCTGTGCCCCGCAGGGGATGGGCGCTGACGGATTTCCTGTTTCAAAAGCTGCGGAGATTGCTCTGTTCACGTGGACAGCCGGGCCTTCAGAGCAAGCCCGCCGCTTCCCCCGGCCGCGTGGTAGCATTTCTCCCTCCTTGGCACCTCCGCCCTCTGCTAGTTCTCCTTACCCCGAGCGGCGAAGGCAAGCCTTTAGCAGGCGAGCGAGGAGGAGGAGGAGGCATTTCACTCGTTTGCCAGCTGGTTATAGAGGCTGTGGCAGCACAATTTCACATGTGCTAAAAATGCCAAACTTTTTTTTTTAATGTCTAACAAAATTTATTATGGTGCTATTTAGAATAAAAATGCCACGCTCTTATAGAAGGAGCCCACACATTTTACTCACGGCAGCTACTGCAGATGAAAGCCAACCATACAGAAGAATGGAAACAGCAAGGTTTGAGCGGGTGGGGAGGGGCAGGAAACACAGAAGAAAAGAGAACTCAGCGCATAAGAGAAATGTGCCTCTGGAGAATAACATTACTAGTCACACTGCCTGCCGGGGGCGTGGGGGGTGGGGGGAGAGACTCTGCCTGCACGTGTTTCCAGCACATTCCTTCCTCCCAGGGCCCTGGACGGTTGGCACAGTGAGCCCACTCCAGAATCTGTCCTACCTTGGATAGAGGGAGGCTAGGGTGCTCTGCGGCCCTGGGCAGACCCCCTCTGGTCCCTGGCCTCAGGCCCCAGCCAGCCAGAGGAAGGAGAGACAGCTGTCACCCAGGGCCGCCCCTGCTCTGCCTGCACCTGGCTCCCTGGGACCACACATAGGAAATTCAGGAAAACAATAACTGGGGGGCAGGTGCAAGTAGGTTGGTAAAATCAGAATCCTAGAAAACCTAAGGGAGCCCCTTGATGGGAGAACACAGTAACTAACCCCAACCAAACTCAAACAACTGGCAGGTGTCCTAATTCTTAAGGTAAAAGCGGTCTTCTCTGGGTCAGGAAATAAGCAAACTCTTAATTCAGCTTGAACCCAGCCTGAATCAGAAGGTCACAGCCCATTAGCAGAGGCTATGTCTGGCAGGAACAGATGATCAAAGAGAGCTGTGTCCAGTCAAATGACGGCACCATCCCTGATGCAACAACCCATCTAAGTCCTGTAGGATGGGCACTGGGCTAAGCCACTCAAACACAGCTGGCTCCTGAGTTAGCCGACTCGTATAGCTCCAAAAGGGATAGTCTGCATGCAGGCCACACCAAAATCCAGTTTCTGGGCCAATCCCAACTGTCTTCACTTGGCCCTTTGATGCCGGCTCATGTAAGGAGCACACATTCTCTGGGCACTGCCAGGATCCCCGCAGCAACGCCTGGGCCTTGGGCTGCAGCTCTAGGCTGCTCAGTTCATTTCCTCCTAAGGAGCAGTGATGGCAATGCCGTCATTACCGACCCACCCGGCATGTACGGAGGAATTCAAAACTATAGCAACAACGTGCATTCAAAGTGACACGGACCAGGGGAAAGAAGTTATGGCCTGCAGAGGGAAATGGCAGAAATTAACAGAACAGGGTCTAAGAAGCCTATTCCCCTATCAGGAAGGGTGAGGATCTAAGTTTGATCCAAGATTGTATTAACCAAAAGGAACAGGAAAAATTACTTCCCAGAGTGCTTTCCACAGGGCTAGTGAACAATCACACCTCCACGATTTTGAAGCTGTAATGACATAAAAACTGCCCTGGGATTCCAACATATTGGAAAGCCACATTTAAAACACAAAACTCCGGGCGCCTGGCTGGCTCAGTAGGAAGAGTGTGGAACTCTGGATCTCAGGGTCATGAGTTCAGGCCCCACGTTGGGTGTAGAGAATACTTAAATAAAACTTAAAAAACAAAAACAAAACCTGCAAAACCACATCATCTTTAAAGATGAAAAATAAAATCTGAAATAGCAAAATACAATATAAAAGGCTAACAGTGACACAAGCATGACGTAACACTGAGGGTAGGATATAATTTCAGGTCTTTGGAGTCTAGAACAGAATTCCTGGCACAAATATTCAGGACCTACTCTCATGCTATTCACCACAAGGTTATTTCAAACTTCAAGAAAGCCACACTCCTATTTCATATCCTCAAGTTCTCTCCCAAACAGAGCTGGTATACTTTTGTAAAACTACTTCAACCAAAAGATCTACACACTGGAACACTTTTAAAACTCTAAGGACAATAGCAGCTTTGCTTCATTGTTTTTGGCAATAATTCATTCCCTCAAGGATTAAAGATTCTGCCTCTAGCTATGCAACTTTGTCCCAGGAAACATGAGATATTGCCTCATTAGAACAAGGACGCTATTATTGCTGAATATAAAATACAGTTTTCTTAGTTTGTCCAAATTAAGTATTAAAAAATTAAAAGATGGCATCACCAGGGCATTGTGTCACCTCTACATTTAACC